TGTTGGCATTTTCTAAGATTTTCTGGATGCCGAGGATGCTGTGGATTTCCCGCAATTATACCCCCTAATTAAAGGATCCAACCAACATACGTTCCCAAAGGGCTCTATTCGGCACAGGGGTGAAAAGAACAGGTTTCGGGGGTCGGAATGAGCGGTTAAGGGGTGGAAAAAATATGCTCCGGGGCTAGGAAAATATGATGGGGGTTGAAAAAATATGTTCCGGGGTTAAAAAAATATGTTGCCCTTAAGGGGAAGGTGCTGGATCTGGGCTGCGGAGGTCACTGTAAATGCCAGTTTTTTGTTGTCAGGGTCCTTCAACCCTCGCATCTCGTAACCATGAGCCCCTCTTTAATGCGCAAACCCCGTACCCCAACCCCCAGAGCCAAAGCCAGTCTACCCGCCCAAGCCAAAAGACTCTGTACCCAGGGGTTTGGATAAGCTCCATGATTGAAGAGTGGCAGGGTACTCTGAAGCAAGCTGTGTATGCTGTATTATATTTAGATCTTGACGTGAAAAGTCTCAAAAATGATTGAGGGTCTTCCTCGGGCCAAAGTCAGGGCCCTCATCGTGTACCCCTTCCTCGGCGACACCTCTCAGATGTTTTGACATTATAAATTATAAAGGCTGCAAGAGGCTACACGCTGGAAAGGAGCTTGTGTAAGGCTTCGACATGGAACCCAAAATGGGCCCAAAACCCTGTAAAGCGATGGGAACCCCTGAAGATCGACACCCCCACCAAAACCCTGATGGAGAAACCTGAAAAGCCACACCCCCAACATTACGACCGGTAGGCAGCCATCAAGTTTCGACAGACGCTCGTATGCTTGCGGATTCCTGCCTTCACCGATAAGCCTGGCAGAAACTCCAGCTAACCTGCTCTCAGCCTCATTAGCCACTGTATGTCCGCCATATATCTCGCTTTGTCGTAATCCCATCTCCCAGGTCAGCCACCGAAGCAGAGATCGCTTCATGCTAGCATAGTAGTGGGCGATTGCCTCTACATCTTTGGAGGGTGCGCTGGTTCAGGGCTTTTGACAGTCTTGAAAGGATGAAGGCTGCGGGCGATTAGGGAGATGATGGTTGGCTAGTTTGTTTAAGGAGTTGGGGCCCGGGATTCAACACTCGATTATTACATGATTTGGGGCGCAAATCATCATGTCTGAGTGCTTTCGTAGACAAGTCGAGCCACAAGATCCCTGAAGCAATTCTCTCACACCCCGTAGATTCCGAGTTGTCTTGCGCAAATAAAGGCTCCAACCCCCATACACACTGGCAGTTCTGGAGGTACGATGGTAGCAGCCGGGTGAACGACTTCTACAAGTTCAGCTTCAAGGCGATCAAGTTCCGTTTAGTGGCCAACTTGGGCTTAACCAAGGGATGTCAGCCTCTAGAATCCGTAGACATAGACTGTGAGTTGGGGTGGGCCTCTCGCAAGATCCCCTGGATCTGTCACAAGTGTTCCTGGTGCGGATACATCAATAGTTTCAATACTTAGCCGAATTGCCCCACAGAATGGATCCTCAGCCAGATTGCGAGATGGGTTCTGGGGCGTCGATCAAGGATTACCCAGCGGCTCTTCTAGAAGGGGGCAAGGAAATAATGCCAGAAAGAATAGAGTCGCAGTGCTGCTTCTCGTGTTGTGAATCGGCCCAAATTTCGTCTGGCATCAGCGAGACATTTGAATACAGTGACTTCCTACCTAGATTGGTCTTGTTGCTTCCTGGAGTTCTTGCAGCTCTTTGCAGAAGCCACTTAGCGAGAGCATCCCAACACTCACATCCCACCAGAGCCTGCAGGCTTCCAAGTGGTCGCAGATTCACCCTGCAGGTGCGGAGTTTGAGCTTTTGGTGCCCCAAACCGTAAAGTTTAGGTTGTGTGATTAAGAACATCGGGTACGACATTTATTCGCGGATTTGGGGCTTGAGGGCGGCATGAGTTTGTCCTGCAGGCAGCATGCAGCCTTTGCTTTGTTGGTTCTCAACTAGACAGGGCTTTCTTGGATGCTGCGCTCTTTTGGGACGGTGTAGGGGTTGTTGCACGGCTGACCATCGATACTGCCCTGTCACCTTTATCCATCGAGGGCATGATATATCGCCATGGTGGTGGGGTGGTACTTCAGCAGAAGACGGCGATTCTACAACAATGCTACTGACTCCACCAAATCGCCAGCATCTAACACAAAGCCACATCCTGTAGCCCTACTATTCAGGCCCAAACCCTGAGCCGCAAGCCTTGGTCCTGAACCGCACTCCTGACCCCAAGCGGCTACGCCTGAAAAAAAGCAAAAGCGAGCTCAGTGGATGCAGGGAGTAGCCCGACAGCCCGCGACAGACATGTTGTCGTGCACGGCCCTCGGTTGCTAGCTTTGACGCACACGCCTACTCAGAGTCCCTTCCCCCATTCATGATACAGGTCCAATGTGGTACCACATGGAGAAGAAGGAAGACTTTCCAGAATAAGGGGATCACTCAGGATGGACTGAAATCATGCATCCATTTTTTTGCGGTTGCATGAGGCGGATGATATCATTCGGGGGAGCAACGGTTCGAGACATGCCCGCCTGATGGAACAGTCTGAACATTCAGCCAGTAAGGATTAGGGTAGCATTCGTGTCTACGGGAGGCACAACTTTCCTTTCGTCGACGTGGAGCATTGGCTTAGGTTCACTTTCCTTCAACTGCTTTCAGAGCTTTCTCGAGGGAGTTTTCCTTGAGGATAGGGCTTAGTTCGCATAGATAGAATGTATGTTTCTGAAAGGCCTTGCCAACAGACTTTGCAGACATTTTTTGTATGTCAGGAACTGTTCTGGTTCTCAAGCCCTCTGACATGCATCATATGCCTTGTTCATGACACAAGAGGGTGGAGACCTCAAGAAGACTTCGGGTATCAGAACTTTGCACAGTTGAAGGCAAGATGCACTTCATCCAGCTTCTTCCCACAAAAAGCGGCAGAATGTGGAGGGATGTGAAATGTCTGCTACCACTTATGTCTTGTTTAAGAGCCGAGAACCCAAGGTCTTACGCCGACAAGATCTACATTTTTGCTGGATACGACGGCAACAACCGTGTGAATGACTTCTGGCAGTATGACACCGAGCACGAGGTCCTACGAGGGTTCAGGATTTGAAGCTTGTGGTTTGGGACTCCTAGTATTGAATGTCCCCGATATGGACCCAAGTGAACTTAACATGGAAGAGTGATTAGCAGGAGGAGCACGCTTGACAGTACCTCATCCAGAGCTGTAATCTTGTGAAGCCAGACACTCTTTGAATCCAACTCCTGAAGCATCCAATACCCGCAAATTCCAGCTGCAACGCAAAGCTGAGAAGCACCATGGTTTGTCCAAAGATGGACCTAATCAGCCACATCAAGGGCAACTTGCGGTCTATCATCTGGTCTAGAATCTTGAGTGGGGCACCTTTTGAATCCTGGGTTCGCTTCAAGACTCCAAAGACATCGGATCAGTATATCAAGGCCTGGTATGGAAAAGGGGGCCGGAATTTGGAGACAGCATCATTTCCTGGACGCACGTGCTTGCAGGAAGTACATCTGGTAGTTCTTTTGGTATCACTGCACTGACCTGAGAGCCCTAGAGCCAATAGTTGCGAAGGACATTTCACCTTCAAGCTCAGATTTATGTTCTATGTGCTTTGACCCTCAAGCCTACCCTGTACTGACATTCTGAGCCCATGACCCTTGAAATCGTTCCTTTTCTGAGATGGCCCGGCTGAAGCCTAAAGTCTGAAATTAGCCCCAGAGCCCGAGCGGAAGTAGTGTCCGATTCTCCCAGAAATTGGTTTGACAACTGGTTGCTGTGCACTGAAAGTGGTGCTTCAGAACGATCACGTAAAAGCTCTAGCCTCTGGAAGTTGAGCTTTGACCTCACGTCCCGAAACCTCGTAAAGTCCTATAATGTTGGGCGGAGCAATCACGAGTGATGATGACCCATTCAGTCCCAGCAAGAACAACCAAGCATGACCAGGGAGCCATGCGGATGCTCAGCTTTGATTAACAGTCCAGAAACACCCCACAAGCAGATCTTTCTACATGCCTTGCGTGCGGTCTGGAGTCTGAAGTAGTTGTGTTACAGATGTATCGCTGTTGTGGCGGACAGTACCTTCACAGCTTTTTGGGAAGCTAGCGTAACGAGACTTCTCGACACCATGCATCCATGGTTCGTTAGGGCTCCAAAGTAGGCTTTAAATCACTTGGTGACAGTGCCAGGTCTGGACCACGGTGGACCCGGCCCTCGGAAACCCGCCGACACCACGCCATAGCCGGGCGCCTGGGAAAAAGCTTAACAGCAATCCTGATAGGTGAAGCAATTGACAAGCCAGACCCGTCGCCTGTCTGCCTGCTGCCTGGGCTGTGACTTCGGGGCATTGAGGACTTTGGACTGCAAGGTTCAAGGGCTATACAGACGCCTCAACTTAAGAAGCTCATGAATCGTGCGATGGCCCCTCATTGAAGCTGAGGTGGAAAAATGCAGGGACAAAAGCAGTCTGCTTAGGGCTTAGGGCCTATCTTCTGAGCTTCCTTGTATGCCCTGTTCCTAGCGTGCTGTTTCTTGCCGATGCGCAGTTTTGTGTAGTCTTTGCAAGCCATCATCAAATGTAGTTAGGTATCAAGGATTTCCCAAGCTGACTTGTCGCCATCTGGACTCCAAGCAAGGCCATCTTGTATCAGAAGTATTTTACTTCTGCAACATGAGACTCAAGATGTTTTGCCGTCCTGCTTACTGCGGAGAAGTAGCCCGTGAGGCTTTTGCTACAGCATGTTTTTCATTTCGGGAGGTGGTAAGTATATCGAAGTCTTCTCAAATTTGCTTTCAGCAATGATCTGAGAGTGCCCCCTCCTCGGACTGGACTTCTATGGGCCTTCTCACTTTGAGGACCTCAATTTCTAACATGGTAGTCGTGGCTGTGTATCGGGTTCCCTCCGAACTTTGGCGAGTGGAAGCAAATCTCACTCACACGCCCATGTCAAAAAGAAGGGCTTCCCTTTCACATCCCAGGGCGCGGAGGATCACTAAGTCGGAGCTGAAACTTCGGGACCCTGCGTTTTCTTTGCTCCAGGTCACTCGGGTGTCGAGTACGATGGATCCATGTACATCTTCGCGGGGTACGATGGGAACTACCGGAGCGGGGTGCAGCGTCAGACCTGAATTGTCCGGAGCATTGGCAATGTGAGAGTTTTTCAGCATGATTTTTGCGGGAATCTCATGATGGTGAGATATGCTGAAGCTGGCTCTGTTGAAGGTATCTGCGAATCTCTCGTAGCAGAGACAATGCAGTGGCTAGAGACTTCCGTTTTGCTTGGGGTGTCTCCCATCCTAGGCACCTAAGCCCTTGAAAGCTTTACTGGGAGGATGAAACCCTGCCAGATTACCAAGCATGGTGCGGCCAGTCTTGCTTCACCTTGGCAGTCATAATCATGTTGAACGGACTTTGTCAACCAACCTGCTTCGCGGGCTGTGCGCATGTGTGGAGTTCCCCAAGCCCGAGTCCAGAGATGCCTGGTGACTTGCGTCCTGAATGCAGGAGTGATTTTCACCGCTACAACTTTCAGCAACGGAAGTGGCCGACAACTCAGCTAAAGAGCAAGGGGTTCGCAGAGACCGGACTGTCGCTTTTTTCTCCAAAGTTCATGACGGATGAGAAGGAGTCAATCTTTTTGGTTGTACGGATTTTTAAGTCTATACGCGCAGCCTTCCAACACAAAACTTTCAAAGAGCTGGAGAGCTCTTTGGGTTAATGTCCGAGGGACGTTCTAAGGACTCGGGTGCTGTCATTAAGATGAAATCGGACATGAGAAGAATTTTGTCTGAGATGACTATCAAGGTTCTTTCCGTTTAGATTCTGATGCTTGCCAATCCGCCCCGGGTCTCCGTGCCTTCCAGTGCCTCCAGCAACAAGCTCTTGGACGCCACCCTAGATCCTACAAAGCATAATCCCCAGACCTTCCACTGTCTTCAGCTTTGAGCTTCAGGTCTATAGTCCCTGTCAAGGGATCCGTGCCCAAGGCACGCTACAGAACATCGGCCGTCGCGTGCGCCGGCAGAGATGTTTCGGACTCCCCACCATATGATTGCCGTCATTTCGGTGAATGTTATTGTTGCTTCAGTATTCGCCATGTACGTTGCCACGCTGAGTACGGTACCCTTGCTTGCATTCTCAGAGCTCCCAAACCACTGCGACTTCTTGATTGCTCCAAATGTAGAATGCAGGTGGGATATGTTATTCGTTTCAGCCATGTGTCATTTATCAGTTATGACAACATTCTGTCGCGGCCATGTCTGTAGACATCGAGCCCAGGACAAGGGCCCAGACAAGTCCTGAGGCTCATATATGTTCAAGCTATGCCTTACTATGCCTCATTGGCTTTTTCATCCAGCAAGCTGGAGCCAAAGCTGAACATGCCAGTAGCATGATCTTGCTATCTTTCTTTGAGACAATAGACCGTGAGAACCGGCACTAGCAGGATGCCAAGACTCCATGACTCGATCAAGGCTGGCTAACCTCTGCCCCGAACCCAATGTGCACTGCTGTTCCTGGAGAGCCTGAACTCAGCGCGTCCAATGTAATGTGTTGCGAAGTTTGTTGAACTAAAGCTTGTGTATGCTTCTACTGGCGATGCTTCCCTCGACTCCAGGGCAGCAGTAAGTGGCCCACAACAGTCGCTGCTAGGTACAAGAATCGTATGCTTGTGGTCGGTGGACATGATGGTGCGAAGCATTTGAGCTTCGGCCTGCTTGTGGTTGTTATTCAACAACTAGGCTTGAGCGTTCAATCTTGTGACATCAAGCTTAACCGTTAGATTATATACCTTGAATGCAACGAGCACCAAATTTGGAACATGGAACGGGAACATGAACTCAGCTGCAATTCTTAAAAGTCTTGCGGTTGTGTTTCAACTTGCTTTGCCCACCTGACGCTACAAGGTGCCCTAGCGTTTCCTGGCCAGGGGTTCGGACACGCTATGTTGGGAGGTACGTAGAACCCGACAATTTGCGGCTAGGGATTCTGAACGGGCACAATACCATGAGAAATTCCTCTGTCTCAAGCTTCCGAGTATTTTTGAACTTTGGGTCAAGCTGTGGAAGTTTGGACTGTGGCGAAGAAGTTGCGGATCAACGGTAATTATCTTTTTGTCCCACTGCTTGGGAAAGATGTCCAGGAGGCACCTGAACCCGCAAGCTCAAGTGTATTGGATGGTAAAAACTCTGGAAGGACGCTTCTTGTGTGGGGAGAATCCAGTATTAACCTTGTGCTTCCCAGACATATCTTCCACTTGCCACATGATCAACCCCTGGAGTAGCCCTAAAAAGTCCGTATCATCCATTTGCTTGATTTCTTAGTAAGCATCACGATAGTCCATTGCGGATCCTTTTTCACGTGCATCATCGCAAAACTTTATCGTTTTTCATGCATTCTTGGGGACATGGATGCCGGTGTTTAAGAATACTACGTACATTATGTGGGGCACCCCAGAAAAAGACCCCTTAATGATTAATTTAAGCCATGATTAATTCAAGCCCCATTTGGGAAACAACCAACTCAGGAATGATTTCTACCAGTTTAACTTCGACACGCTGGAGTGGCGCACCTCAGGGCTCAGGGGGTGGAAGGTTTAACATTTGGGTTACATGGGTGTTTCCAAACCAGTGGCTCCGCCACAACGCAGCAACGAAAACCATTTTCCCAAAGAACCGTTTGCCAACCGCGGCCAAACATAGTTTTCAGTGAGTTTTCTCAAGTTGTTATTTCAGGGTGATGGTACAATAGCCCAGAAATGAAGAAACCACAACCAGACACCTTAGAATGCGCAGGCATAGATCTAGTCTTGAGGTTGGCGTTCCAGGACTGAATATCAATTCATCAGTGCACTGCGTCAGCCACTTTGTTTACAAGCCTGAAAGTTTAGTCACCCATTTGCTGGTTTAATCTTGGCGAGGTGTGTTTCGTACAACAAACGATCAGAATTGTGCTTGAGTAGCGTACGCAGCATTGATTCACGCGTTCTGCATGCCACCGGCGGTTCACCCTGGACCCTGAGAACCTAAATCACGAAAATCTGTAGCATTTCCAACAAAAAGGACACAATTTCTGAGTAGTCTGCCACACGGTCCAAGTACCAAATGGTTAGGTATTTGGGATTTGTTAGGTAGTAATGCGCATATTAGCAATTAATTATGGGCCTTGGGTGAGTTACAGATGTTTTTGACGTGCGTCTTTGCTCATGAAGCTTTGAGCCTCAAGATGGCTTCGTTGCCCAAGCTGATGGAACCTCGAATCTCGAATTGCAGTCTCCAACCCCAAGCCGTTAGTTTTCACGACAGAGCTTGCGCGGATTAAGCTGTGACTTAAGTCGGGCTTTGGTCCAGCATAAGCAAAACGTTTATGTCCTTTGCAAGTAGTAATTTCCCTAAATACGGGATGCCAATATACCCAAAATTCTAGAGTCCTTCCAAGCATTCCTTCAAGAAGGAACGTCTTAGCCTTCTGCCCTGAGAATCATCCCTGACTGTTCAACCCTACACTGTCCACCGTTCAATCTCAGCGCCGCCATGCTTGCGGCCCGCCCGGGCACACAAGTTGCTTTGAGCTTCTCCTCCTCAGCCCTGCTGTTCGTCTACCAGGTGGGGAGCTTACGAGTCATCCCTGTAGTTGGACTCTGGTTTAATTCGAGGGCTTGCTCTGGCATGAAAATGCTTGCAAGCCCGTGTTTCTTTCAAGGGTTTCAGTGAGGAAGCAGCTGTTCCGAAAACATTCACTGGATATGGAATCCTGACCAAAAAGGCAGCCTACTTTGAGACAGTTTTGGGTGTCATGCATTAGAGGGCGCAGGGCTTTGTGTATGAGATGCGTGGCTTTGGTGGGCGCAATGAACGTAAAGTGAACGCCACAAGAAAAACGTTGCCTGCGCTCTTTGTGTTTTGGAAGGGGGTTTGGAGGTTGCAAAAGCAGACGCGGGAGAGGGGTAAGCGCCACAATTCAGGGACGAGGCCTCGCGTTCAACCTGGTCTTCCATTGAATCCGATTTCCTGGCCCGGTTTCAAACTTCCAGGTGTTTACGCACTCAGGCCCTTCTATTCTTCAAGACCCTGTGCACTGCAAGGTGGCGGCCCCCTGTTTCATTTGGTAGGGGGTTCAGGGAAGTCTGCCTTACTGCAGGGATCATTCGGAGAAGCCATCCTGCCCGGCAATGGTCGAAGGAAGTTGTTGGCGGACACCTAGCACAGAAGGAAGGATTTGCGTCCCCTTTTTGTGCCCAAATCCCTCAAGAAAAAATTGAGATCCCTAGCAGTTATCCTGTAGATGGATAGGTCCAGCTGACTAGCTCATCAAAGCAGTCCCACCCTTGAGGCCGGCGTAGCCGATGGCCTTCTCACCTGCGAGCGCTTTCGTTCTGATGTGAGTGCAGTGCATGGCCCGGGCCTCAAGCTCGGAAAGATAAGATTCTTACTTAGAGACAACCTGCCTGTAAGCATAGTCTGGTCCGTGCATCAAGATTCTAAGTTCCATGTCCAGGGGCTTCGGCGCGGAAGGTTATACATTTTCAGAAGCAGGCTCTAAAAGCAGAACTCGAAATCTAGTCCAAGCTCCGGCCGCGTGGAAGTCTACAGCATGTGGTTGAAAGCGGGGAAAAACCTTGTAAGCCTCATCAGCTAACCAGCCTTGAAGCTGGCGGTTCCCAAGTGCTTTGCAAGGAGCCCCCCTCTCAGACTCCACTAGCCCAAGCATGACCTGGGCTGATGGAGCATCCCTACCTGCCACAGCTTCTACCAAAGTCTACAACGTTTCTGCGGCCTCAATGCTGAAAGTCGAGCTGGTTGGGCCTTTTTTGCGCTCCGCCCTGGACCCTGAACCCCACAAATGCGTGCCAGTGCAGCAAAGTCAGGCTCAAGTGGCGGCGCGTTGGTCGCGGCTTTGTATCTCTGCGGCCGAGAAGCGCTTGCAAAGACAAAGGCATGTGCTGGGGGTGTAGTGGCCGCGGGGTTGTTGGGGGTTATATTTAGCAATTTCCGGGTTTATGAATCGAGGGTGTCGTTTGGTTCTGAAGAGCAGCATGCCTTAATGCCAACTGCAGAGCGTAGGGCATACACCGAGTGGCGCGGCAGCTTCAGACGGCACGCCCAAAAGTCTATAGAAGGCGGAAGTTTTCAGAGCCTTGGTCTCCAAGGTTTCAGATGGCCGGATTCAGAGAGTTACAGGGAACATAGCGTTGCCTGCCCAATGTCCACGGGACCTAGCCACTCTCACGAAGGACATGAACCCAATCACCCTGAGCCGGCGATATATAGCCAATGTAAACCATAAATCTTTCATCGAGGGGCCATAAACCCTGAAGCCCTTAAACCCTACTCCACCCGAACCTGCACAAACTAAGCAGGACTATCTGAAGTCCGGGAAACTATTTCAGGGCATCGGTCTAGCCGCATCTCGGCTGTCGATACATTCCTAGTTTGTGGTTGAGGGGACTTTACTCGGTAAGTTCTGAGTAGGATTCTTTGGAACTACCCTGGCATTGTATGAGACTTCCTTCATTGCCCCGGTAGCTGTAGAGGTTCAGGGGTTCGAAGGATTTATTACCCGCGGCCCAGGAAGCGGCCCAGCATCTGGGACCTACGTACCATACCATGATCATGGGGAGGTTCAATTCATGGAGCATGTTTGATCTGCATGCTGTTTATATTGGATCCTTTGACACGGGTAACTCTTTGTTGATGGTTGAGTAACATGACAGATCAACATTGCAACAAAAATGGCATTATGCTGATTACTTGGAAGCTCCCAGTGCAGTCGCCCGGATATTTTTTGATCGGGAGGTAGTAGGCAATTAGATGACTGAAGTACAGCAACAAGTGACTCGTTGATAAACTCAAGATGAACGCACAGCAAAGTCCGGTATAAATGGGAGTCCCAGGAAGGGAACCTGATGCCTGCTCGTTTGGCATTCTGTACACCCGCTGCAAAATACATGCAGGGTTTCTCAAAGAGAATTTCTCAACATTGAAATTTTCATATTGTTCTTACGCAAACTCTCAGTCGTCATGATGTTCTGCCAACCATCTCTATGCAATTGCACTTCAAACTGTGCCACTCCTGTATCTATTTCCAATGTAGTTGATCGATTCCATGGGCATCCAAAAAAGCTACATACCGCTACATATTTGGACTTCTTTCTGCTCCTCAGCATACATGATGCTCAGCTCACGAACCTGTAGTCTTCCGATGTTCAGTCTCAGTCCTATTCGGGTTCTTGCTATGTTGTTTGCGCTTGCCACAGCCCTTGAAGTCTAAAGCCCCTCAGCCACAGCGACTTGTGAGCCCCTACACCAGAACCCACCTTCCCGCCACGATACAGTTCGAGACAAGAGCTAAGGATGTATGGGATCCAGCCCGGCTGATCCCTCGGGCAGTAGAAGCCACTTTGCTGGCAACGATTCGGTGGGGCCAGTTGCACAGTAAAGCCATGATTTTCTGGGGTTTTGGAACTTCCGAAGTTCGCTGACGGTTTGCATCTGGTTCGAGGATCCTCAGGGCTTAGGAGCTCTGGAAAATCCAAGTGATTTGTTAGCTAGTCCATTTCCTTTTTGCCTACGGCTTGTGAAGGTGGCTACGTTGACACTTTGAGGGAGTGTTGACTTTGCAGTCTAGATTGCAGCTCAGCAGGGGATTCGGTTGAAAGTTCTTGGCATGGGTAGCTTCAACCAAGGCTCCTCAACTGATACTCCTTAGATTGGAACCTGCAGGTATCTCCTGTTTAATTCCCTCAGATCAGCTTGAAACCAAGTAGCCTTGGGGTGAATCATGGAGCATCATGGAGCAACAGCCCGGAGCTTAACCTGTCTTGTGACCATTGGTGCCTCAGAGTAGGTTCCCCTCAGACGTTCTGAAAAAGGATTCAAGACTTTCAAGCAGTAGGTTCTCCCATCCAGACTCCAGACTCTAGAACAGAGTTGCACAAGTCTGCTTGTAACCCATCGGCCTCGTGTTGTCACCCCAACCACCAAGCCTTTGAGTGAGGAATCAGGCGCCATACCGGAGGATGCCTATGCAAGGCTATCAGGCAAACTGCACGTGCAATGCACGAAAGGCGGCATGATGTTTGCCGCTGAGCCCGCTACTTGTTTCCATATTCATGATGGTAAGTGGTAGGGGTAGGGAAGCTGTGGGTTTGGGTGTGGTTTCCACTTGTCTGGTTGGCTAAAGAGAAGTGTCTCTGCGGAGGGCCGCGCTGTAGCAGAAAGGTTTGAATGAGATGTACCCTCTCAATCGTCACATGTCGGGTTGGGCAATCATGGCAGCAAATCTGGTGTGGATAGTTCAGCGCCACTCATTCGCTGAGCGGCCCGCATGACATTTGGACCGATTACTAGACGGTGCTTTCTTGGATTCTGCAGATTCTGAGTAAGCGTTTGCGCAATGTCTTGCGATGTTTTCCAGATCGATCCCAGCCTGCACATGGCTCAGGTTACCTACTCCTCCTTCGCCTCGAACGCAGAGCTCCTGTCCATTTTACAGGCTATAGGGGTATCTGGAAGACGGATTGCAAAAGAAATATACCGCAAAGGGATATCATGGGGCTTGTCC